GTATGCATCTCGGTTGTATGTATTGTTGTATTTATTTTAGAAATTCTAAGATTCCTTCTAAGGTTTACACATAATTAATAATTATTTATCAACGTCGTAAAAATAGCCAAGAGTTAGCAGCGTCACTAAACAGCGAATTTACTTTCAGCCTCGATAATTCGAAAACCGACAGAAAAAATGGATGACAGGATATCATTGGATAAAAATGTTTAATAAACAAGTATGTTGATGTAATTCTTTTAGAACAAAAAATAAGGAAATGTTGCAGTATCATATAACACGGTGTTCTTATTGTTTTAGGCAAGAGCCTAGAATAATTCCTTTCATTTTGATTAATAAACTTTAACAAAATGAGCACCATCAAGCTTGACGTACAATGGTCCCCAGTTCATGCTAATAAATTTATAACATGGGGCACAGAAATATGTTTATACGAAATAATGCAAACTAAGGACAATAATAGACAGTTATGTGAGTAGATTTTCCTTTGAATTAATAAATTCTGGTTTATTCTAATTTAGCAGCTTATTATTTTATTGCAGATACTAAGATTTCTGATTGCACTGTAGCTCATCTGCTTGCAACAAACACCAATCATCACTATGTTAAATGCATAGATATATATCCACAATTAGAACCAGATATTTTATTAGCAGTAGGTCAAGCAAATGGCAAAGTTGTATTAACTACGTTTGGGGCGACGATCTTTGATTCTCAAGGTCTCAATGGAAAAGAGCTAGGTAAATTATTTTAATTAATGATCACGTATACATTTGATCACAATTGTTTTTTATTACAGTACCTAAGCATGCGAGACAATGTAACACAGTCGCTTGGAATTATATAGACACAAACCTAATTGTATCTGGATTGGACAAGCATAGCAAAGATCATTCAATTTTGCTATGGGATATAAATAAAGGTGTACAAAATTCCGAAAGGGTGCATCATCACAATGCAGTACAGACAGATTGTGTGAGGCCAGTTGCAGAAGTCGGCGCATCCGAAACTGCACATTCCATTGCTTGGTTCAGGCACGAACAAAAATGTATGGTCGCTGGGATTAATAACAAACAATTAAAAATCATTGACTTCAGAGGTACTATTAAAACTGTTTCGTTACTCGTTTGATTTAATTCGTGCTCTGTTATATGTATATATGTATACGTCGAATTTTCTATCAGATTCTGCAAAGGTAGTTAATACCGCGGTAACTAAAGCGGTTTACAACGTATCCGTGAATCCTCACAATAATTATCATTTGGTTTCAAGTATCGATAATCAAATAGCAATTTGGGATACAAGATGCTTTGAGAAACCTGTTCTAACGTTATCACAAAACAGACAGATTACGAAAGTGTTGTGGTGTCCGACTAGGCATAATTTGTTAGGAGCTTTACAAAAAGATTCAGGTAGATTTTTATTTTCGCTTTATTTAATTGTAAGTTCAGTCGATCGCTAACGTTACCTCTTTGCAAAGTTACGCTGCATTTATATGATATTCAACACTGTGGAATCGGAGGAGGCGAAGACACAGAACCCGGAGCATTAGAAAGGACGGTTGCACCACCTTGGCATAGTCCTGTAAGTTTTTCGTGGCACCCAACGCACGTGAACAGATTGTTGGCAGTATCTCAGCAAGGTTCGATTATAATATATTTATATTTAATTATAGATATAATTGGACAACATTTTTTAATACCGTTTGGTACTTTTAAAGGTCTTACGGATTACACGGTTTGCGAAAGAATTACGGTAAACTGGTCGACGCGATCTCATCTCGCTTGGAATCACGCATCCAAATCGTTCAAATATATATGCAGTAACGATAATATTTATAAAGCTATAGATGATATTTCCATTCTAACGAAAAGTCGCGCGTCTTCGGAATACGGATTGCTTGTAAGTTGAGGGAATTTTCGCAATTTGTATCGTGTAAAGCTTTCATTTATACTTCTAGCCAGAATTGGCTCAGAACGGAGATCTGGCCGAAAACGATACTCTTAAAAATTTATGGCAATGGTTATACTTAAGTCGCTACTTGGTGGAGGATGAGACCATACCAAGCTCGGACAGTAAGCATCCGGGTG